TGCTGCTGTCTCTGTGACCCCTCAGCCCCTCCTTTGCTCCTCTGGCCATCCTTACTCTGGAGTGGGCACTGCCAGCCTGTGGATGCTCTCCCTGCCCTGCCTCCCTCCCATGTTTCTCCACTGCCTCTTATGTCTGCTTAATCTTCTGACCAGTTCCACAGTTGTCCCTTGAAGGGCTGGTGTCTCGGAACCAGCTGGGTGTCCTCCCACTGGCCACCACCCTGGGACTGGAGCTTGGAAGGTTGGCATGGAAGGAGGAGCAGTCTTCTGGAGCATTCCAAGCTCAGGTTCCCCAGGCTCTCCCTATCTGCCCCCATTTGGGGCTGCACCTAGCCTGTGGTTCTTCATATTTCCACTTTCCATGCATCCCCTGGTCTTGAGAGGGTCTGGCCTGGTGTGTCCTGCTCTGTACCTGGCTATCTTGGGGAGAGGTCTGCTTAACTTGGGTGACACAGCCGTTTCTAACCTGTTTTTTGAACTTGCATCTTTCTCCCTCCTTGTTTCTCTCATCCCCCTCTGTGTGCACTGCCTTTCATTCCGTAGTTCTTGGGGACACATACAATATTCCTTTAGACCCCCGAGGTAAGCAGTGTGGCTCTGCAGCCCCATTCTCCCCCTCTGAAGCCCCATGGGTGAGGTTCCCTGGGGACAGACACAAGGCCTATTGGGCATCAGGTCAGAGGGACAAGAATTCTTCCAGGGTTATCTCACCTCTCCACAGTCATTTTTATCTCTGAGCCCTGCCAGGCTAACTTGGCCCCTGTGCCTTAGCCTTGCGAACGGTGGGTCCCTCTATTCCGAATGATCTAGTCGTGGGGTTGTAGAATGTGGGGAAAAGATGGAGAGGCTGTAGGACCCCATTCTAATACTTTGCTGTTGGCAGGTAGGCAATGGGGTCTTGTAGGTAACTTCCCAAGATAGGTCAGGGGCCAGAGGTTGGGGGTAGAGGCCCTAATATCCCTCTCTTATCGCACCAGCCTTCCTACTGACATGGGCCAGCTTCTTAACCATGCCACCCCACCATGGTAGAGGGGTGGCCTTGGGTTTCAGACTCTAGGTCCTTGCTGTGGTAGGATGCAGCCCTGTTACTCCGCAGCACCAGCTCTGGCTGAGGTCCTCTGGGTCCTGTCTGCCCTAGGAAGTCCAAGGCCTCTCCCAGTGTTTCCTCCATACTCCTTGGGGATGAGGGGTGGGAAGGGTCTTGGTCACTGCCACCACAATAATAGGACTGCTCTTCTCACAGAGACCAGCTCTTCAGCCACCAGCTACAGCTCCGAGTTTAGCAAGCGACTGCTGAGCACCTATATCTGTGAGTGTCTCTCAGGCAGAACCTGCTCCTCTGCCTTTTCCCTCCCAGGATAGCCCTTTGTGTGATCTCCAGACATGCAGAGGTCCCTCTCCTGACGTCGCAATAGCAACCTAACTCTAGTTCAGGGACCAATGGGATGGGGAAGGATTCCTGATGCCTCAGAGTCAGGAAGACAAGGAGCCATGGCCAGGAACTGGTTAGTGGGCACCATCGTGGGTCATTTGGGTCAGACTGGCGGGGATGGCCCCATCTTTCCCTATGCAGGTAAAGTCCTGGGCAACCTGCAGCTGAACTTGCTGAGCAAGTCCAAGGTATATGAAGACCCGGCACTGAGCGCCATCTTCCTGCACAACAACTACAACTACATCCTCAAGTCCCTGGAGAAGTAAGTGGCTACAGCCATGGCTGTGCGCCTCACTTCCTCTGGGCCCTCAGGGCTGGCTGTGCCCTCCACAACCTCCAGCTCATTTGTGCAAGGGTGGGAGGGGGCTTTCAGTCCTCTTAGCCCTGACCTCGGGAGGCTGAGTGCTGCCTCCTTTGAGCCGTGGAAGATTCGAGATGGATAAGGAGCCCCTCCTTCCTGGAGTTTCTTCCAAGCCCAGCAGCCTTTGGGCCCCAGCAGCCAAGTCTGTCCTTCTCTATTCTCTCCCCTACCTGTGCCCAGGTCTGAGTTGATCCAGCTGGTGGCTGTGACTCAGAAGACTGCGGAGCGCTCCTATCGGGAACACATCGAGCAGCAGATCCAGACCTACCAGCGCAGGTGACTGGTGCCCACCCTCCTACTGGCCTGAGCTGACCTAGCCTCATCCCTGCCCTGGGTCCAACACAGTTTGCTTCCTCAGTGCTTGTGGTAGGGAGGCTTATCAACTGCTGCCCTGCAGACCCCAGCCTCTACTTGGTTGTAGAGTTTTTGTGGTGCTGGTGATGGAACCCAGGTCCTTGTGCATGATGTTACCCATGGGTTCTACCACTGAGCTACACCCCAGCCTTTTATTTCTTTTCTTTTTTTTTTTTTTTTTATTATTTTCTGAGATTTTTTATTTCCTTTCTTTTGTTTCTTTACTCCACTTTTTAAAAGACTCAGATTCATGCGGTAGAAAGAGAACGGCTTTCCTCACTACCTGATCCCCTGGAAGCTGCAGCGCCTCTTTAGGGTAGTGTGCCAGGTGCTAAGGCTAGGGATGCTGAAGAGCCAGTGGCAGGCATATGAGTGAATGTTTAGTCCGAGAGGAGAACAGGGTTTTGAAAGTCACTGAACTTGGCTGAGCTTGCCCTCTCCTACTTGCACTGCTTCTTTGGACCTCTGTTCCCCTTGGCTTGTTTTTTCCCTTTGAGTGTCTCACTCTTCCCATTTATCTGTCTTCCATGCTCACCTTTCTCATCTGTTTCTTCATCTTAATTTGCCATGATATTGATGTGAAGTATATTCAACTGCTGAATTTATTGAACACCCTCTGTTTTCTATTCTTGATTTTTAAAGTAAGCAGCTTAAACATTTTCTGTTGCCAAGGAAAAGATCCCAGTTATTTTGCTTAGTTGTGACCCGGATCAATTCTTACCAACCCCTCCCCCTAGCAGTAGATCAACAGATATTGAAACAAAAAACAAAAAAACCAAGCCTGTATCAGGGAAGTTGCAGCTGTCCCTCCCTGACCTCATGTCTTTCTCCCTGCTGTCTGGCAGTTGGTTAAAGGTGACTGATTACATCTCAGAGAAGAATCTTCCTGTGTTCCAGCCTGGAGTCAAGGTGAGCTAAAAGCCTGGGCTGGGAAGGGGTGTTGAGCAGATGTGACACTTATTGCTAAATCTCTGTGTTAAAATGAACAAGAAATCTTCTGGGATCAGAGGGCAAAGCGTGCATGTGGCCATGGGGGCAGCAAGAGAAAGGCCTGGGGCCCACACTGTTTGAAAAAGGAGCCGGGTGGGGTGGTTCTGCTATGAGCAAAGCTCTCTCTGTTCTCCCTGGCTCCCCTGACACCCGCTCCCCACCACCGCAAGCTTCGGGATAAGGAGCGGCAGATGATCAAGGAGCGTTTTAAGGTGAGTAAGGAAAGGTCCTCTTCCTTCCATGGCTTGGTGCTGGCACTGTGGTGATAACAGTCCCAAAACTTTTGTCTCTTGTCCTTTCCCTTTCCACCTGTTTGATGGCCAGGGCTTCAATGATGGCCTTGAAGAACTGTGCAAGATTCAGAAGGCCTGGGCTATTCCAGACACAGAGCAGAGAGACAAGATTCGCCAGGCCCAGAAAAACATCGTCAAGGAGACCTATGGGGCCTTTCTGCACAGGTGAGCCTCCCTGCCCCATCCCTGCCTAGCACTGCACTGCCCACTTTGCTGCTGGACTGTGTATCTGTTCCTCAAGGGGAAAAGGAGGGGGTGGCAGGATTTGGCAGCAGGGCCAGTGTCTTGGGCTTGGGGACATCACTCGGGCACCCCGTGGCATCTCTGAGATCCGTCAGAAGTGCCTTCAGTTGAGGAGGGAAACTGAGGAGGGGTTAACCTTTCCCCTCCCCCTAACGACGGTGCCTGGGCAGGTACAGCAGCGTGCCTTTCACCAAGAACCCTGAGAAGTACATCAAGTACCGTGTGGACCAGGTGGGCGATATGATCGATCGCCTTTTTGACACCTCTGCCTAAGCCTGCCAGTGTTCCTGCCTGGTTCCTTCAGGCTAGCCATGTCATTGGACAGATAAACCAGTGTTAACTTGCCTCTGGGCTGGGTGAGTTTGAAGTCCTTTGGGACAGAGACTTTTCTGAACTGCCCCATCCAGGAGCCCTGTCCCTGTGCCCAATGGTCCTGGTATCCACTTCCCTGCGCCCTGTGCTCCCCTTTAAACCAGCACTTTCCCAGGATGTGGGAACCTTCCAGACCTCCAAGTTTTATGCCTGAGCACTGCCAGCCAGGGCCATGTGATGGCTTCTGAGATAAGAGTCAAGGAAGCCAGAGGCCCATGCCCCAAGCTGCTTCATGTGTCGCGCTAGCAGGCGGGCAGACCCTCCCCATCCTGGTTCAGACCTGAAGATGGAGAACTCCCATCCAGCCCAGAAATGTGGGTGGGGCTCAGAGGAGCAGGCCATATCCTGGCCAGAGGGAGGACCTACAGAGAAAACAGTCAGGGTTGACTCTGTCTCTTGGATATAGCGCATCAGACTTAATGTTGGGATGTTTAGCCTCCCCACAGTTCTCTAGGTGGTGGGGAGGAGTGCTCTCCATCTGTTCCCTGTAGAGTCCAGCACACTGCAGGAAGCATGTGGAGAAGTTCTGACCCACTTCTGAGGCCAGCCACTCAGCTCCCATCTCCTAGTCCCCAGTATCAGCACCTCTTGGCACAGGGCCAGACAGCAGCAGTCACAGAAGAAGCAGTTAAGCTGTGTGTGGGTGCTGGGAGATTAGTGGATGATGTGAGCAATCCAAGAGCAAAGTAGGAGGTCAAGAGTGTGAAGCCAGCCCCCTACAAAGCACGAGAGTTAACAGCTGAGTTCAATGAAGGCCGGCACTAGAGGTGCTCTTGCATTTGGGTGAGGTGTTTATTTCTGCTCTGCTCGTATTCATGCAGAGCCAGGAACTTATAGTACTTGGGGCCCCACAGGGTTAGGGAAGAGCCAACCCTCACTCCCCTCTCTCCGGAGATCCTGCCCTGGCCCTTTCCCTCAGCCATGGGGAGCTACACTGCATCCTACAGTCATATATTCACTGGCCCTGCCCTGTTACAGCCTGGGCTGTCCACCGAGGGGAGCAGCCTCACCAGGGGCTGGGTCAGAGTTGCATGTTGCCCAAATCCAAATTCCTATGAAGAGAAATTGGCTGCACACCACACTGGCCACGTATATGAGGAAGAAGGTGTGGTCAGCAGCCTCAGCCCAGCTCCTCGATCCTTTTTCTCCTCTTGGGGATGCTATGGGAGAAGAGGCAGGGAAAGGAGTTTTCTTCAGACTTCCTCCAGCATACTCTTGCAGAGCAGACCCCGAAGTTTCCCTTAGATTCTCAACTAATGCAAGTTTGGGTCTGGCCCATCCTAAACCACCTCCAGAGGAAGAGATACCCTCGTAGAGATCTCTGGGATTAATTCAGGGTCTGAGGTGACCTTGGCCTTTAGGGAAGCTAGGCTGGCTGTCTGTTCAAGACAGGCCTGCTTCTTCCCAGGGAGGGCGCAGTAGAGCTTGGGGACAGTAGATCCAGCCAGCTGAGTGCAGGTAGCTCCAACAGAGTCAGCCACTGCTGAACTTTGGCTCAGTACGAAGTGTCTACCTGCCAGCTCTGCCCTGTCAGATCTGCCCCAGGCCTCACTCTCACCTGCCAGATGGGGCCTTAGCTCCTGCTCACCTTCAGGATTAGGCCCTGGGTTCTCCTGATCTCTCTGTTCTTCTCTTGGGACTGGGCTGGGGCTGCTTTTATTCCTAAGGCTGTCCCGGGCCAGCAGCCCAGCCAACAGCACAGTCTCCATGGTGCTGAGGAAGAGTAGCAGCAGCAGGATTGTGAAGTAGTAAACTGGAGGTGGGAAAGGACTTCAGTGACCGGGCCTGGCTGAGCAGAGGCTCAGGGGACGGCAGGTCAGGGAGGGAGCAGGGAGGGAGCAGGCCTTACTGAGCAGTGGGTTGCAGGAAGAGGAGCTGGGCAGGGCCTGCACAAGGGAAGAGTGGAAGACAAGATAGCCCAGCAGCAGTGTCACTTTGTAGGCAATGCGCTCAGTGGCCTGGAGGGGCAGCAGCGCCCCACACACATCAGCTAACAGTAGCGCCTCTCCAGGCACCAGCAGTGACATGACGGACTCTAGTGCTGTGTTCTTCAGGCTTATCTGGAAGGGAAAGAGTTGAGCCTTTCCTAGGATATGGAGGGGGCGGGCAGCATGGGGATGGTGTCGTGGCCCTGACTGTACCCGCTCATGTCCCTCCATCAGCCTCTGCCAGTCCCTTCCCAGTTTGACTCACCATCACCTGGAAGCCGGGCACCAGATCCTGGGGTGGGTCTTGGATTTTCAAATCATAAACTACATATTCTCTCTTGACACTCACAATCTCATTCTTTACCTGGGCCTGGAACTCCAGCTCCTTCACTGAAAGGGGTGGGAATGAGAAGGGTGAACTAGCAAAGAGAGATCCCTGCCCTCAAATCTCTTAAGAGTAGGAACCCAGGGGCTGGGGATTTAGCTCAGCGGCAAAAGCGCCTGCCTGGCAAGCGCAAGGTTGTGAGTTCGGTTCCCGGTACCGGAGAAAAACCAAAAAAAAAAAAAAAGAGTAGGAACCCAAGCTTGAGGCCAGGGACAAGGTAGACCTCTTGTGGCTTCTGGGAAGTGTACTTGGAAAAAGAACATCCATCCAAGGGCTTCCCAAATGCTTCTCAACACCTCACATTGTCTCCAGTTAAAGGAAGAGCCTTATCAGATACATAAATGAATTGTCATTGCAGATAAATGCACTTTGTGCTACTTTGTGGCAGGGATGTGGTCACAGACTCATACACTGGTCCATCCTCTCACATGGGAAACATGAAGGGTCCATGGAGCAGCAATTGTCATCTTTTATGGAGGGGAGGGAGGTGAAGGGGGAAGTACTTCCCCAATTTACATGTCACCTGATGGGTTGGGGCATACTTCCTAGGTGGTAGCCCCTTCAGTTACCTCTGGGCTGGATGCAAGTAGTCCAGCAGCTATAGTTTGGACCAGACTGTTGAGAGCACTAACTCTGAGGAGAGAAGACTGAAGTGACCAGAACCACAGGATTATGAAACTGCCAGGCTATGGCTTTGGAGGAGGGCAGTGAGGCCACAGCTGAGTGAGGGGAACAGGAGATGGGCTGATGTTTGAGTGAATGTGCAGGGTGAGGAGCATGTGCTGCTTGGCAGTTCCCCTAAGCCTGAGGTAGACTGATCTGAGTTCAGCCCAATGTCTAATGTGTGCTAGAGGCCAGAGAGTCCGCTCCCCTGCCCTCACCCCCCTGCCCCGTCAGCACCAGTGTTGCTGAAAGCATAGAAGCTGAGGCTGCAGTTGCTCTGGTCCCTGGGAAAGTGGAGGAGCTCAAAGTTGCAGTTGGTCTCCGTGGTGAGGGCCAGGTTAAGCACCACTTGGCCACTGTGGTGTACTTGAATCTGTGGCATCTGATCCTTCCAGTTCACCCAGAGCCTATGAGGGGAGAGGTGCCACAGTGAGAGCTCCAGCACCTTCTGGGGCTAGGATGGGGGCGACACCTCCCCGAACCCCCCCTGCTCTCAGAGTTCTGGCAGGGAAAGGGAAATGGAAAAGATTTACCAAAACAGCCTCTGGGTTCTAGATGGGGAAGGGAGGGATGTACACGCATGGCATGTGGGTTCCCGCCTCACTTACGCTTCCCAGATGGTGAGTTTGGGTGTCCAGAGTGAGTCCCAGGGCAACGTGACTGCATGCCGTGGGTATGCACTAGTGTTCCACGCCAAGCGAGTGTCCAGCCAATTCTGGGGACACAAGGACACCACTGAAGCCTCATTCTCTGCATTTACAATTCCCTAATGTCTACAGGATGATGAATGTCATTGCTTCCAAGCTGGACTAGCCATGTGCTCCTGTCCTACCTCCCCCAGGATGGGAGCTCACCAGCCTTAGCATCAGCACAGAGGACAGTGTGTACTGCAGGATGTCCTGAGGACAGGAGAAAAACATGACCTCAGTGGTGCAGGATAGGGAGGCAAGAGATCCTGGCTACTGAGTCCCGCCCCGCCCTAGTTTCGTACTTGGGTCCCCTGCCCTCCTGCAGCTAGGCAGCACTTACCACATTAAGTACATCAGACACAAACACCTGCACTTGCACAAGCAGGGGCTCACTCCCAGTGCTTAGAATCTGGGTGGTGTCCTGGTCCTCCAGGGGCAAGCAGAGGTTGAGGAGAGATGGCTCCACTGAAGAGTAGAGGTTGAAGTTATCCTGGTGCCCTGGGGCCGAAATCCCAAGCTTATCTACTTAAGCCATCCACCTACCAGTAGCTGAGTCTCTGAAGCCGGACTCCTGGACCAAGGGCTGGATGGTGCCAGCCCCAAGGAAGGCAAGATGAAGCACGATCCACAGAGCCATCATCCGTGATTGCCCAGAGGGCTCGAACCGAGCAGCGAGTGGAGCTTAAACTACAACCTCTTATTTCACTCACCTCTCTGGGGGTTGAGTAGTTGGATGAAGGCAGCTGCTCTCTGCATTGACTGTGGAGCCTTGGACTTAGCACCCCCTCCCACCCAGTTCTGCAAACACCTAAAGACAAAGCCCAGGACCCAGTCCCACCTGCCCTGCACCTGCCCACTGTCCCTGCCCTGCTCCATTTCCATCACCTGGAACCCATTGTTCTGTTCAAAGCCTGCTGAGGGGCATGGAGTAAACTGGACCCCCCACTTCTTCCTTCTCTGGTCTTTCCAGGCAAGGCCTCTTCTGTGTTTCAGTAGCTGACAACACCCTGGCTAAGTATCTGTGCCATTGGCCAAAGTGCCTTCCACTCCGCAATGTGTGATGGGGTTACCCGTGAGTGTCTCTACCTCTCATTAGACCCTGGTTTTAGTAAAGAGCCCTGGTTCAAGAACTCTGGGACTGGGACAAATCAAGGGACACACAGAGACCAGTTGTGAAAAGGGGCTATTATCCTACTGAATTTTCAGCCTGCTCCAGCCCAGGCTGGAGCAGTACTCACCAAGGGAACCACTTTCTTAGCCCCCTGGCAGAAACATACTGGAGCCCTGATTGGGCCAAGCTGCAACCAGAGAAGGAAACAGCAAGGTTAACAGTGGATGGGCACTGGTCAGGCTGCCCAGAGTAGACGGTCCCCCAGAGCTGGAAGCAAGCAAGGACCAGTTAGGAACTTGTGCATGACTGCAACTAGGAACATACAGTGTTTGCGCCTGTCACGGACTTTATTGAACACTTAAATACTCCTCTTGCCTCTGTTGCACACACTGGCTGATTGTTCAACAATTTATATACACCTGGTGCCTCCAGCAACCACATGAAAGAGGGTTTGGTGATCCCTCACTTCCTAGCTCCAAATAGACATTTTTACTTTAAAGCTGCTGTACTCAGTGTGGGCATTCCCTTTGCCCTAACTCAGTGAAGTGCCCTCCACCCATCCATCAGGAAATCCCTGTGAAGTCCTAGAGGCTTTTTTCCCCCCGTGGGGCTTTACAACAATACTTGGACAGAGCATGTCACTGCAGGTGAAATGGTTTGTGCATTTTATTAGTAGATGAAACCCTCCTATAGTCCCCAACCTCTGACTCGAACCGTTCCAATACCCAAGGTTACAGGCTAAGTGCCTTGAGGCTTGAGGTCACATTAATGGTGGATCAGGATCTTATTGGAGGCATTTTGGTTCCCTGATGGGATAGGGACCCGGCTCGAGGCTGCTTAGCTGGGAAGAACCAGGATAGGGATACAGGACCCCGGCCGCTTCGCTCACATGAGTCAGGTCGGTGGACTCACGCTCCAGCACGCTGCCATTGTGAGTGCCTGGTGTCGCCACCCACACGCGGCCGGAGGTTTGGCGCGGAGTACCACCCAGCAGGCCTGCACAGATCTTGCGGAAGCCCTTGCGGAAGTGCTTGGAGATCAGCGCGTAGACGATGGGGTTGACGCAGGAGTTGGCATAGGAGACCAGGTGCGAGAGGATGCGCAGTGCATAAGTGGCACGTGTGAGCGGGAAGCGGCCGAACCACACGCAGAGAATAAGTGCGTGGTGGGGCATCCAACAGAGGCAGAAGAGCGCGGCCACGATGACGATCATGCGTGTCACCTTGCGCTTGGCTCGCCGAGCACCGGAGCCTGCAGCCACCGGGTCGACGGCGTGCCAGAGGTAGAGCAGGGTGCGCGCGTAGGTCAGGCCAAGAACCAGCACCGGCAACAGGTAGCTGAAGACGAAGGTGCAGAGGTCCATGGCGCGGCGGCGAGGCGCACTCCACGCTGGATGGCACACAGTCTGGTTGGCTAGCTGCGACTGGCGGTAGTAGCTCAGGTAGGGCCCGGAGAAGAGCAGCGCCAGACCCCAGATGAGCCCGATGGCCGCCAGCGCGTTTCGAGGCGTGCGCAGCTCTCGGGAGTGCAGCGGGTAGCGGATGGCCAGATACCTGGGGACCAGGTTGGAAAAGGAAATGTTGGGTGAACAGTGGGATTCACGCCAGGTGGGCCACTACCCCTGCATCTCAGACTTTACACCCGCTCTCAGAAAAGTCCCTAAGACGAGGTTACACCGCACCCACACCCAGCGTAAAAGTAAAACAGGGTCTGACAGGAAAGGCGCTCATGGAGGCAATTCTGCTGCTGCCCTCTGCCACAGATATACTCCACCCTGAAGGGCATCCTGAAGACCCTGAAGACTAAAAGTTGGAAAATCAGCTATGGGCCTGGAGGAGGGTGTGATTACCCACTAGTGACATTCCTCAGGGAAGGAAAACTGGCACCTGAGGCTCTAGCCGGTGGCCAGGAGCAGACAAATTGGGGAAGGTACGAGGAAGTCCCGACAGAGGCCGGAGCCCATGTGTCGTGACACACTCCTGCTCGGACTCCGTGGAAACGGGAGGCTCTGGGGAGCGTGGTCTCACCTCACTGCTCTTCCAGGGAGATCCAGAAGATAGGAGGTAGGAAGTCGGACCGCATTCCCCCGCCCAGGACCCATCCTAGTGTCCCGCCAAGTTCGCCTGTGACCCGCGCTCAGGAAAGTGTCCTCTCGCTGTCCTCTGACTGGGGAGGGAGAACCCCAAGGCGCACTCTCCTCTCCTGCCCCTGCCCCTCCGCCTGGAGACGGGGTGCAGAGCGAGCTGAGAGTGAGCCAGGGACTTGGCGAGGACCAGCATTCCACAGTCCAAGCGATCTCGCCGTGGCTTCTAAGCGAGCGCGGGGGAAGGGGAGGCCCCAGGCTTGACTAAGGCTGTTCGCTTCCCGCACGCGATGGCAGGCCAGCGACTCTGAGCGTGCTACCAACTCGACCTTGTCTGTAAGTTGGGCACAGTAACCTCCCCCATCCCAGCCGCAGAGGGGCTTTAAACTCAAACGAAATGACACGCGTGAGAAGACTGTAGGGAGAAAGGCTGCGCGTTATCAGGCGCGGGCGGTGCTGGAGGGCTGAATTCTCCAGCCCAAGAGGCCCGAGGACGCACCCAACGGAGGGTCACCACGTCCTCGTTCTTGGTCCTTTTTATCCTCCGTGCCCGCTTGTCTTCCACTCTCCAGTCCCTTTGCCGACTTCGTGTCTCCTCCCGCTCTCTTCATGTTCCTCCTGATCTCCAGGTTGCGCCTCCCTGTCCAGCCCCTGTCCGAGTACCTGCTCACCTGTCCAGGGAGACGGCGGCCAGCGTGAAGCTGCTGGCGTGCATAGTGAGGAAGATGAGGAAATGCACGGCCTTGCAGAGCCCGGAGCCGAACACCCAGCCGTCCAGAGTGTAGATGGTGGCCTGGAAGGGCACGCAGCACAAGATGAAGCACAGGTCGGCCACGCCGAGGTTGAGGATGAACAGGTTGGTAGTGCTCACCGCCTGGCCGCCGCGCAGCAGCACAGCGAGCACCAGCGCGTTGCCCACCGTGCCCACGAGGAAGACGAGCGCGAAGAACAGGGGCACGAGGACCGCCTCTGGCTGCCAGCCACCCTCGCCGCCCGCCTGGCTTGCGTTCTCGCCCCCGAGGCTGCCCGAGGCGTTCATAGCGACGCCAACCCCGAAGCTGCCTGGCTCCTGCAGCCGTCTGGGTCTTGGTTAGGGCGCAGCTTCCCGCCGCTCGAGTCGCCCAAGCGCCTAGCCAGACTCTTAGGGGCTGCAAGCGCCCGAGCCGAGCCGGGGTGCGCTGGGTCAGGGGGCGGAGCGAGCAGCCGAGGGTAGGCTTGTTCCGGCTGCGCTAAGGGCAGTGCTACTGAGTGGCCCCACGCGCGTCCGGGCCGGGGCACCCACAGCCCACCTCACGACAGAGAGTGGCGCTGGCACCTGCTCGCGCGCTCTGGCTCCAAGATCGCTGCTGTAGCGTACTGAGTCGGACAACTGGCTTCTCGCAAAGACTCAGGATGGTGGAGGGAGGAAGCCGGGGTCTGCATATGTGCCACGCCGCAGGGAGCGCCGCCGGGGCTCGCGAAGCCCTGCGCTTCCCCGAAGTCTGACCCGTGCGCTGGCTGCGGTGCCCTGGAGAGCTCCACACTGGTCTCACCTCCATGGGGCGGGGGATACAGGATGGAGGGAACGGTTCGCCTTGAGCTCCATGCCTCTCTGTCCATTTATAAACATTTTTAAGTGTTCAAATCAGTAGTGTATTCCCCGGAGCACCAGGCTCCACAGGAACCTCGGAGAGCAACCCGGTGGGTGAAGGGGCAGTGAAAAGGAATTTTCTGCAGAAACTTGATGAGTTTCATCTCACTCCTTTCTCTCACCTGCTGGACATTACCCCTCCCATTAAATCCAGGAAGTATTTATTGAGCATCTATTGGGTGTCAGCCTCTGTCTTTGGTGGTGGGCCTTCCTTTCCCCAGCTGTAATAAGGGATTGTAACATTTTTCCTTAGAGGACTCTGATAATTCAGTGAGGTGTATGAGAGAGGCCTGAAGCCAGTACCATTATATCTGGCTAAGCATTTTTAAGTGTTCAAGTCAGTAGTATAATCAGACTGTTTCAACCAATTTTTAGAACTTTTTCATTTTGCAAAACTGAAATGCATTAAATAACTCCCCATTGTTGGGGATGAAGGATGGCAATATCATTCTGCTGCCTCTATGAACTGGCTTATTCTAGGTTCTTCATGTAAGCAGAAGCTTACTTAGAATGCAGTTTTCAACACTTACCCATGTTGTACTATGTATCAGAATCTACCTCCCCCCAACACCTTTGGGCAATACTAGGATTGAACGCAAGACCTTCCCTACAGCTAGGCAAATGCTCCATGATGGATGTACATCCCAAACCCTTTTTTAAGTTTCCCAGGCTGGTCTCAAACTTTTTTTTTGTTTTTTGTTTGCTTTTTTTCCGGTACCAGGAATCAAACTCACGACCTTGCACTTGCCAAGAAGGCTCTGTGCCGCTAAGCTAAATCCCCAGCCCTGGTCTCAAACTTGTGATCCTCCTGTTTTAGTATGCTTTGTTGCTGCAATTACAGGAATGTGCCACCACATCCGGAAGAATTTTATTCCTTTTACGGTTGAATAATATTTCATTGTGTGTATATATATATATATATATATATATATATATATATATATATACAGGCGCTCCCTGCGGCGTGGCACATATACAGACCCCGGCTTCCTCCCTCCACCATAAACAAAGTGGTATATATATATATACCACTTTGTTTATCCCTGAAATGACATTGCACAGTTTCTACCTTTTGTCTATTGAGAATAATGGTGCTGTGAATGTGGGTGTATACGTAACTCTTCTGGGCCCTGCTTTACAATTTTTGGGGATGAATACTCAGAAGTGGAATTCTGGATCAGGTGGTAATTCTTTTTTTTTTTTTTTTTTTTTGAGACAGGGTCTCACTATGTGTTCAGGGTGGCCTTGAACTCACTATGTAGCTCATGCTGGCCTCAAACTTCCAGGGATCCTTCCACCTCAGCCTCCCGAGTGTGGGATTAGAAGCATAGGCCATGCCCAGACCTACTTTTAATTGTTGCTGAACCACCATACTGTATTCTACAGTGACCCCATGTTATGGTTGGTGTCTGTGTGTCCCCCCAAAGCCTCATGCGGTCATGGGGCAGGCTTTTAGAGTTTGACTGATTATGGGTGTGAGAGCTACACCTGCCCTGGGCTGGATAGTTTGCATATGTAAGGGAGAGGAAGAGGCTGCTTGGCCATTCCTCCCTTTTAATGCTTGTTGATTCTGCTGTGTTCTGCCGCCATGAGTTGTAGCCACTCTGTCATGTGCCACTCTGTCTTGTAACCTGCCAAGTACGTACTGAAACCTTTCCTTCCCTAATTTTGGGCATCAAGTATTTTGTCCCAGCAACGAGAGAAAAAGTAACCAAGACACTCCACCACTTTACATTCCCACTAATAGTGTGCCACAGTTCCAGTTTCTCCACACACCATCTTGTTTTCCAGTTCGTTTGGTTTAGTAGCCATCCTAATGGGTGTGAAGTGTTATCTCACCGTGGCTTTGATTTATATATCTCTAATGATTAGTGATGTTGAATTTTATTTGTTATTTTTATTGTATTTATTGAGACAGAATATTGCTACTTAGCCCAAGCTGTCCTCAAACTGGCAATCCTTTGTCTTGGTGTTGGGATTGCAAGTGTGCACCACCACACCTGGCAAGATCCATTTTTATTGGTTATGCTCATTCCACAGATGAGGGAACAGGTTTAGATGAAGATTAAATTACATGCCCGGGGCTGGGGATTTAGCTCAGCGGCAAAGCGCCTGCCTGGCAAGAGCAAGGTCGTGAGTTCAGTTCCCGGTACCAGAGAAAAACCAAAACAAAAAAAAAAAAAAAAAAAAAAAAAATTACATGCCCAACTTCTCCCAACCAATACCGCTGGAGCAGGGATCTGAACCTCAGCTTTAAGACTCTAGAGGCTGAGTGCCCTATTATAGGGCAAAGACTCGTTCTCTCATCCCAGTATTTCTCCGTCCTTGGTCTGGTCCCAAGCTACAGGTCCCAAGCAATGTCCCCACCAGGACACCGTCTGCTGTTTGCGCCATCGGTTCTCCGGGCCATTACTTTCTCACCTTCAGCCCGAGAAAAGCGCAGAGGCGGACCTTCCAGGGAAGGGTAGTTCGTAGGGACGGAACCCCATCTCTCGACTCCATGGAAAAGTACATACTCAGAAACAGTCATTTGCCCCCGCCCCCAGATGTGTGGGACTGAGCCTGATCCCCTGTGCAGCAATGAAAGAGGTGGGTGTCCACTTCTGGTCCTCCTGCCTTTGATGTACAGCAGCGGGGGTCCGCCCGGGAAAAGACTTCAACAAGCTTCAACCTCATCCGCCACAATTTACCACTCAGAGACTCAAATCCACGCGCAGGCGCCCTCCAACAAACGGCTCTGCTGCCCGGAAGCGCAGGGGGCGGCGGAGTCCGCCCCGATCCCATCAGCCCGGGCGGATAGGTCCCGCTCCTCCCGCCCCTGGTCTTCTCGCCTCCTCTATCCCGTCCTGCTCTGCGGCGTAGCGCAAGATGGCTGCTGAAAAGCAGGTCCCGGGTGGTGGCGGCAGCGGCGGCGGCGGCGGCGGCGGCGGCGGTAGCGGTAACAGCGGTGGCGGCGGTGGACGTGGTGCCGGAGGAGAGGAAAATAAAGAAAACGAACGCCCTTCAGCCGGGACGAAGGCAAACAAAGAATTCGGAGATAGCCTGAGTTTGGAGAGTATCCTCGAGTTGTGGCCTGACTCGCAATGACTACGTGTCGATCTGGAGGGCTGGGGGCGGGAGAGGCGGCGGGTACTGGCGCGTCCTGGGCCGGAGCTGAGCTTTGCAGTTTCTCTCACCCCTAGTTTTTGGCACTCAAAGGTCCAGGGATCTGTCCCTCGATCGGTCTTTTTTCCTGGCATTCCCCTTGCCCTCCAGATCGGGATGTTCTTTTCTTCCAGGTGGCATAGGGACCCCAGGCGGGTTTGTCCTGCTCCGGTGCGGTTGCTCATTCGGAGGTCGCTGTCAGCGTTGACACCCTGGCCATCTGGCTGAGCTCCTTCCTTGGTGCCTCAGCCACTCAGTGGAGTTAGGAATATACAATCTTGACGTTTTAGCTTAGTATTCTTGTCTGACGGGCTAGTAAATACGGAGAGAGCCTGATGCTTTGGACGTGGAGGATTTGGACGCAGATTGCCTTGAGAAAAAGCTTCTTGCCCATTTTGAATGTAACTTATCATAGCTTGTTAACATCATTTTGTATAGTTTTCTTAGTAGATCCGTAGGCATTTTATTTTGTTGCAGGCTTTGGAAGAATCAGTGTGTAGTTTTCGTTAGTTTATATTTCAGTTGTGTGCTTGGGACAGTTTGTGGCCTTTTGAAGTGAAGAAAGTGGAGAAAATATGGACATATTTCTGAAATAGCACATTCAGCTTGTTATTGTAGCATAGTTAAGCTTTTAGAGTTTTGGAGTTTACTTTTTTGATATGGTAGTACTGTATACTTATTCCAAATGGATGTTACAAGTGGACGTGGTGGCACAGGGCTGTGATCCCAGCACTCGGGAGGCTGAGGCAGGAGGATTGCTGTGAGTTCAAGGCCAGCCTTGGCTACACAGTGAGTTCCAGGTCTTGTCTCAAAATTAATTAATTAATTAATTAATTAATATTTGTAGAGAAGGGTGGAGGAAATGTTAAAACTAAAATTGTAGATAAAGGTCATTAGACTTCTGCACATTTGGTACGTAATCTTAAATATCTTAAGATTCTTACAGGAGAGAGTTTGATTAGGGGTTCTGATTAAAGAAGACTTTGGTCAAAAGAATTTTAATGTTTTTATGGAAATCCTGGCCTAGTTTGGCTGACATGAGCTAATTATAGGCTCTGGAAGCATCACAGCTGTTAAGGAAAGGTAGATTTGGCAGTGTGGAAGGCCAATAAAAGCATAGTACCTGTCATTTATAATGTGAATCTGCTTGAATGAATAAAATGTGAATCAGTGGGAACAACTCCAGCTATAGTTAGCGTTTAGAATCCAGCAGCTTTAATTTGAGCTGTTAAGTTTCAGCAATCCCTGATGGCTAATAATATCTTCCTTTTTTATTTTGAAAACAGTAACAGTTCAGGTACTTAACTTTTATGAAAACTTGGCCCTGTTTTATGTATAACAAGATCACTACTGAAAATGGTTACAAAAGGTTTCAGTAGTTAATGTACTAAGAATTTTACAAATGTTTAATGTGCTGTGGTTCAACACAAATAAAGACTAATGATACAGGTTTTGACTTATTTAGATTTTTGCTACTGGTTTTGATTTATTTTGATTTTTGCTACTGTAAGCTTTTCCTTAATTTTGGCTCTAGTTCTTCAGATTATCAAGGAATCCCAGCAGCAGCATGGTTTGCGGCATGAAGATTTCCAGAGGTATAGGTTAGTATCCTGTGGAGATCTCTGTGGGATTTTCAAACTTGGTTTACTTTTGTCAGTATTCTACTTACTCTGCTATATCAAAAAACATACCTAGAAAGATCAGCCTTGAACTTACACTGAGTTCTCAAAAGGTATGTACTTTTTAAATTTAAAATTTTATAATGAATAAATGGAGCCACCCTTAGCCAGGTGTGGTGGCACATCCTTGTAATCCCAGCTGCTGGGAAGGCTGAAGTGAGGGATCACAAGTTCAAGGCCAGCCTGAGCAATTTAGTGAGACTCAAAATTAAAAAATAAAAATGCGTCTGAGGACATAGCCTAGTGCAAAGCCTTGGATTCAACTCCCAAGACTGAAAAAAAAAGTAGTCAACCTTTTTATCTATTTTGCCTCACAATTATATAGACACATTTGGAGGCTTCTTTTAAAATGACAGTTGGGTTTTTTGTTGTTGTTTGTTTGTTTGAGAGGAGGTCTCTCTGTGTAGTGCAGACTGGCCTTGAACTTGCTTATGTAGCCCAGGCTGGCCTGGAACTCTCAGCCATTTTCCTGCCTCAGCCTCCTGAGTGCTGGGATTACAGGTATGCACCACCACTCCTGGCTGTCACAACTTCTGTATCTACGTAACATCAGGTAGACTCTTTTAACATTGTTTGTAAAACGCTGTGTTGTGTATTGTTCTTTTATTCTCCCTTTGCTCCTACCTTGGGTGTGGGGGACACCACCCAAAAGGTGGGTAACCTGGAAGGGATAAAAGGGAGAGGCAGGCTGCTGTTGTTGCTTCCTCATTACTTCACTGCTTCACTGTCTTCTGCCTGCCATGAAATTTTTCTGTTACGTGACTGTATTATGATTTCTAAACCACTGTTCTGTTGCTGGGCATTTGCCAGATTCTAGTTTGGTCT